GGAGGCCACACAATTTTAAGGTTTAAAAAAAATACTTATAAGAACCATTAAATATTCAACCTATAATTTTAAAACTAATAACTGACAAGACCAACTATCAACCAACACTTACGTACTGTTTATTCACGTTATCATAATAAATTTCACGGACACAACAGACTCATAAACGACTAACATTATCATTAGAATACAACAGAAATGGAACTGAATTCCCTCTGGCTAATTAATATTATAATATGACTATTGCTGGACTATGTCCCAACCTAATATTGTTGGGAAGCTGTAGTGGTTTTAAAGAAAAGTCTGTTGGAAATCTCTTTGGATCTGTCAACAATGGAGGGCTATGTCAAAGGCCTGGTATGTTTGCAGCTCTTCGTGAAGCATTTTGCTAATGAGACCTGTTAATTAGCGCTATGCTTCTCTATACTACAAGCAGACTTCTCGCCGAAGTCATGGAGCTTGTAAATACTTGTAAAAAGCTTGTCTTTTGTAAAAAAAAAAAAGACATTTTACTTGTGTGGAACTCAAAAAGTATATAATTAATGATTAATTAGACTATGATGGTCATTTATGTAATTTATTTTAACATTTTAAGCACTGGAGAATTAAAATAAACTCCAATAAATCCCACCAAATTACCTTTACCATTCGTCGTAAACCAACGACTGCCTGTCCTACAGTTTCCTTTTTACAATACTCCACTTATCCCTGTTGAGCAAATCCGATACCTAGGACTCCACCTGGACAAACGACTAACTTGGAATCCTCGTACTACACTGAAACGACAAGAAACAGCTCGACGTTTCCAATTACTTCAGCACTTACTAGACAAACGCTCTAAACTTCCCATTAATTACAAAAGACTCATATATTTGGCTATAATAAGACCTATTTGGACTTACGGAGTTGAGCTATGAGGTTCCATTAAACCATCGAATTCCTCTCGCATCCAATTCTTACAATCCGAAATCCTTCGTAAAATCCTCAATGCTCCTTACTTTTGTCACTAATAAAATTATCCATAAAGATCTTAATGTTCCTTATGTTTCAGATCTGGCCCAATCCAGATACCTATCCTTCCATAACAAACTGCAGAACCATCCGAATCCTCTTGTTTCTAACCTTGCTTCCTCTTCGATTCCTGATAACCCTCCGAGGCGTCTGAAAAGAAGATGACCTCGTGATCTCCTCATGTAGACAAATTATTAGAGTGCTACCATTGGGTAGTTACTCAGCACGTGTATTCATGTCATTATATCAATTATGTCCAAATTTACTTGATGTATTTATGTAATACAGTTGTAAATGTCATAAAGAAATAAAAAAAAAAAACATTTTAAGCAATTTGCACCTGATGAATTAGTCATTTACTGCGAGTTTCCTTGATTAACTTAATTTCGCTATTGTTGTAGGAGCAGGTCACTAGGCCATTTTCTTTTTATTCTGCGTCGATCAGGTAACAGGGAGAATGAAAGAGACGGAATGTGTGAGTTTGGATGATTAAGAGTAGAAGAATGAAATGAAGTGTATTTGTAGTGGATGTACGATTTTGCTGTTGGGGTCTTTAAGTCGTTATGTATAGTGTTATTTGAAATGTATAAAGATGCGTTGACAATTTATCGTAGAATTTTTTATTAATGTGTGTTTGTTTTGCCGAAATCCAAAGATCTACTCCAAAGATGTTCAAATTGGTCTCAGTATGGTGTTGTAGATCAGTAACTTGTTTTGTAAGTCAAGTGAGGATCTGTATTCCAGAAGATGTAAGAGTTGTTTATATCGTCAAGTCAGCTCTTGTCTTTTTAATTTAGTATGTATGTTACAGGTAAGTCTTCTGTTTAAATATAATCCGAGGTACCGTACATATTTTTTTGAAGGCACTGGATAATTGTCAATCGTTATGGGTTGATGATTCAAAATTCCCTACAAAGAAAATTAAATACAAAAATTTGAAAAAGAAATAAAAATCCTACACACGCCTCACAAAATTTATATTATCTATTAAAACTAAATGATTGGTGCAAACTTTGGAAAATTCCACTCAGCCAAGAAAAATCACAACAAATTTCTTTCACTCTTCGATTTGAAATATGTCCAAGTATTTACCTGGACAGATAAAATTCAAAATCTTGGACTGGATTCGACAGAAGAATGACATCAACAAAAAAAGTACAGAAACTGAATACTTGCATTAATCTAATAAAGCCTATACTGACCTAAATTTCACAAATATATGGAACAGTCAAAACGAACCCGCACATGAAAATTAAAAATTGTTTAGTCAACAACTTTCAGGACTATAACTAATGTTCCATGGTACGTCACAGACATTACTTACACGGTCATACTTACACAGTAATACAAGACATTGCCACGATGATCATGGCCAAAAATGCGCTTAGGAGGCTCAAAAGAAGCTGGACGAGGGATCTCCTCGCTTGAAAAGCAAACTATAATCAAGATTGGAAGGAATGCCGCTGGGCAATCCTCTCTTCATTGTCATTGCTTATGACATGTGTGGGTAAAGTAATGAAGTTAAAAACAACATATATATATATATATATATATATATATATATATATAAACTTTTGAAAATTCGGTGATTTAGCTCTCTTATGCTACATCGATGATCTTAACATCTACATAATATTAAAGACTAGAAAAAATTGAATCCATTATATAAAGCGGCACTTCTGATAAGCGACATACCTAATTTAAATATGTAATTTTAGTGGCGTTCATGTTTTATTCACACAGACGAACTATTTTACGAGCGTTACTTGTTTAACTCAAGGGCCGTAAAATGTTTTACGATCGCAATACTTTTCCTTAATATATACTCCAGTGAAACGTAAAATACTTTGCAAAACAAAAAAAATGTAAAATTACATCAGAAAAATGATATATATAAAAAAAATTACAAGAGAAGAAAAAGGTGGAACTTAAAAATGAGATAATGGTTATATAAACAACATAAAATACATTCCATTATGCAAAGAAAATGTATTTTTGTTATAACTACATGAAGAAGATAAGTATATCAATAGTAAAAATAAACGAGATTAATAATATGTAATATGAAGTATAAATAGTAGCACATTATAAAGAGGATGAGATGTTGAACATTTCACTCACTTACAGTATGCAGGTTCGATTTTTAGTTTTTGATATATTTTAACGCATATCTTCCATAAAATTCGTTATCATTTGGTTTTTCAAGCTATTTTTTCCTTTTCCCTATCCAACACGTCGTTGCGTTAACATCCTATTTTGAATAATAGCCCATTTCAGAAAGGATGAACTGGTGAAAATTTCCTTCGCTAACAATATGCAGGTCCGATTTTAAATTTCTGAGATATTTTAATCAATGTGCAAAACATATAAATTAGCCGACTCCTGCCGACTTAAGGCGAGCGTTACAAATCGGAAATGTGACGGCTCAATCTAATTCATTCCACAAAAAATGTTCAAAACGAGCCTAAATAAGTTTGGACTTCAAAAAATTAAAAATTTGAAAATCTGTTATTAAAGAAAACAAAAACGCCTCTTTTGTGCTAAACAACACATCTATCAATCCACGTTTTTATTTAGCAAAATTAACTCTTCTGCTATTCGATAAATAGTCTGTGATACAGACCTCTTTTTATCAAATTATTGAAACTCAAGATGGAGTCGGAGCGGATAATGTTTCTGATAATGTGGAAATGTTTTCATTACCACCTTATTGCACTTCCTACCATGCAGAACTGTTTGCGATAAACCGTGCCGTTTGTAATCTCAAATGCAATAAACAGCAAATTTATATCTGTACAGATTCGGAATCTGCCCTCAAAGCTATTAAAAATTCCTTTCGAACTAACTGTCCTTTCACAGACACGGTTAGGCATATAAAAACATTGGAGGGTGTAGGATGTAAGATTCAATTTTTGTGGTTACCGGGTCACTCAGGTATCAGAGGTAATGAGCTAGCCGATATCATGGCAAAACAAGCAATTACAGAAGGAACTCCAGTAGGGGGTGCTTTTCCAAAAGAAATGATAGCTTTGGTAATGCGAAAGGCTCTAGAAAAATGGCAGGGTCTCCGGCCTGTGTTGAGAGAGAATAAGTTAAGAGTGATCGAGCCCTCTGTAGTATCAAATCGAGCGGACCTTCAGATAAATAGAAGAGAATAAATAATCCTGACAAGGCTCCGAATCGGCCAATCACCGCTAACTCATGAGTACCTGATGATAAAGGGGACGCCCCCTCAGTGTCTCTGCTGCGGGGTCAATTTAACAATCAGGCACATTTTGAATGAATGTTATGGATATGAATGAAGTTAATTTGGAAAACGATATAACTGAAATTCTGAAAAATACGACCAAATTGGCAAAAAAAGTCTTTTCATTTCTTCGAATAACGCACCTATACAACAAAATTTAAAATTTGCTGACTTTTTTTTTTGTTTTTTTTTTAATTTTTTATGCTTTCAATTTATTGTTAAATTTAATCTTATCTGATGTAAAATAAATATTTTGTAAGGGCTAAAATGACCCGTAAGAGGTTGAGGAGCCCCGCCATTGTTGTAAATAAATAAATAAATAGATGTATAATTATTGAGAAATAATAAACCATTATGAAATAATTTGCAGCGTTTTATAAAATAAAATCTACCTTAAAATGTTTTAACCCGAATTTTCATGTGGAAGAATTATTTTGGAAATGTTCAGTCTGGCAAAAATACATTTTTTTTTTTTTAATTTTTAAGTATCTTGATAATAAATAAATTACAAACAATTTAATGTTAATATTATATCTATTGCAATGCCTAATATTATAGATGTATTTAAAAATATGAAAGACCCTTGTAATAAACTCATTAATCATTTTTAAAGTAATACTTTTATAATAATTTTTTTGATATCTTGATTAATAATATAATTACATACAAAAAGAGGAAGCGTTCATTGCATCGCTATTTATAATTGACATTCACTTAGTCAAACGTACACATCAAGTGTTGACACAGTTGTTGGAGCTGGTATAAAAAGGAAGCCAATCAGGAGAAGAGCACATCCACGATGAAGCTAGTCCTTGTCCTCTTTGCCGCCATCTTGGTTCAGGAGAACCTCGCTGAGAATTCTTCGGAGGAAGTGTGTCCTCCAAAGGAATATATTGGTAAGTATTTAGGGCCTAACTATAATTAGGGTTAACTTCATGAAAATGATTTATCGGTCACAAAGAAAATAAAACCAATCTGATATTTACAAGAGAAGGATTTTTGAGAAGTATGAATATTTAATTAAATTCCTGAAAAGTATTTATTTGAATATTTAAGAGAAACCTTCGAAGCGATTAATATAGATACAATAGTTTCTAGTTTTGATTTGTTTTTTCATTAATTATCTTCTCCCTAGTTTTTGCTTCAAAAAGTTAAGTTTTGACCAATGACCAAACTCATTAATAACTAACATTTACACAATTCTGTGGTATATTATACAATGAAGAGGAAGAGGGTAAATAATATAGATATATCCAAGTTAAAAAAAAAATAATTTAGAGAAAGGAGATGATCCGGGGTGGCGGTCATAAATAGACTAAAATAGTGGAAAAAAATATTTTATTTCAAGCCAACGTTTTGACCCAACTTTGCAGGTCTTCTTCAGAGGGTGCGTTCAGCAAGGAGTTTCAGTTAAAACTCTTGAGTTCTGACTTGACGCTTGAAAGTCCTTGCACCGCCCTGAAGAATACCTGCAAAGTCGGGTCGAAACGTCGACTTGAAATAAAATATTTTTTCCAATATTTTAGTCTATTTACGACCGCTTCCCCGGTCCATCCCCTTCCTATAAAATATACAACGGTCAACCATTATAGTATTAGTATTCAATAACAATATAATTGTACCTCAAACAGAATAATAATCGAATATATAATTTATGAACTCAAGGGAAATTATTGGTCTTAAATTTGTTAAATTCCAGTGGCGATTTAAAAATATAGAATTTTTACTTACAAACGGAGGTTACTGAAGTGGGGTCATTTCATTTTTGGGTTATACAAGGTCAAAAAATATAAACCACATTTACGGGGGGGAGGGAGGGGGTGTCAATGTGGCGTTAGGGAACGAAAAATATTTTCTTTTTATATATATATAATTGTTTTATGCCATTACTCTTAATGGATTTCAACGTATAATATATCAATTGACTTGGTCTTTATGTGAAAAAAAGTAAAAAAAAATATCTTCAGCTACATTAAATGAATTAAATTTATAATAAATTACAAAAACCAAAATAAGAAACTTCTATTGAAGAAAACCGTATTTAAGAAAGTGTATAAGCTACTTTACTGGAAGCATATTTTGGTTTTAGTAATTTATTGTATATTTTAATTTATTTAATATAATTAACAATATGTTTTTCTTATACGCACAAAGAAAAAAATCGATCGATATAATATAGTCTTTATCGATATTTATACAATTAGAGTCAAGAAGTCACTAAAACTAAAATTTCTATCAATAACAGAATTGAACTTTATTTTCTTAATTTGTTATATTTTGTATACTATTTTGATATTCTTTTCTTGATAAAAAATACAAGTTAACTTAACAGCCCTTCAAATAATCTTCAACACGCTGACTTGTTGGATAATTAATATAGTTATATCCAAGTTTAAAACATAATTGTGACAGAAACAGAACAATAATCGAATATATACTTTATGAACTCAAGGGAAACTATTATTCTAAAATATGTTAAATTCTTAACTAGTGACCCCTAGTAGAATTTTTACTTACAAAGGGAGGTTACGAAAATGGGGTCACTGATTTAATATTTTTGGGTTATACAAGGTAAAATAATATAAACCAAATTGCCGGGGGTGGTTCTTGTCAATGTGTCTTAGGGGCCGAAAAATATTTTTTTTATATTATTGTTTTCTACTTTTACTCTTAATGGATTTCAATGTAAATATATATCAATTGACTTGGTCTTCATGTGAAAAAAAGTAAAAAAAAATATCTTCAGCTACATTAAATGAATTAAATTTATAATAAATTACAAAAACCAAAATAAGAAACTTCTATTGAATAAAACCGTATTTAAGAAAGTATATAAGCTACTTTACTGAAAGCATATTTTGGTTTTAGTAATTTATTGTATATTTTAATTCATTTAATATAATCAACAATATGTTTTTCCTACTTAACACAAAGAAAAAAATCGATCGATATAATATAGTCTTTATCGATATATTATACATTTAGAGTCAAGAAGTCACTAAAACTAAAAGTTCTATCAATAACAGAATTGAACTATATTTTCTTAGATTGTTATATTTTGATATTCTTTTCTTGATAAAAAATACAAGTTAGCTTAACAGCCCTTCAAATAATCTTTAACACGCTGACTTGTTCGATAATTAATATAGTTATATCCAAGTTTAAAACATAATTGTGACACAAACAGAACAATAATAGAACATATATTTTTTTTAATTCAAGAGAAACTCTCAGTCTAAAAAATATTATATCCTTCCCTAGTAGCTATATTAAAGCTACAGATTTGTTTACTAAAAAAACCATAAATAAATAGAAAACTTGCTACTTACAAAATCCTTATTGGCATATAAGATGGAACTATAAATATCAAGGAACTCATTAATCATAATTAAGAATATTCTAAAACAATTCAACGACTAATTCTAAGACAAATGACTTTGACATTCTAACATATACTGTCAACAGATACCAGAGATGGGTCGAGTGATGAATTATAAGGATGAAATAAAATAGTCAGGAGTTTGACTCAAGATATTTTTTCTTGGGTTAGGCGACGTTTCGACCTAAACATGAGGGTTATCCTGAGGGCTATCGTTTTGAAGTCGGAACAAGAACTCACAAAGTTTTTATCTAGACTTCCGAACGATAGCTTTGATGATGAACCATGTGTTTAGGTCGAAACGTCGGCTAGCCCAATAAAAATATCTTGACTAAAATTCCTTTTGCTTCAACTAGAATTATTTCTGACCGCACTTACCACTCGTTTCGTTGTTACTGCGTTGTATCTGGAAACTCGTTCCCAACTTCATTACTAATTTATGTTTAAATATACTTTTCTTATTATGTGTTGATGATGTTTCAGTGATCAGAGAGGTAACAGTTTGCGAGATCGATAGGAAGAAGTTGGAATGCCCAGCCGGAAGTACCATCAAGATCCACGAAGCCTTCTACGGCCGCAGGAACACTTACACCTGTCGTCACCAGGTCATGAAGAAGAATGTAGACGTGGTCTGCTCCTCGCCCAAGGCAATCGAAGTCGTCCAGAAGAGGTTGATCAATGGCTTATTATTAGATTGAATGAATGAATGGTTTATTATTTATTAATGAATGGTTTATTACATATGAATGAATATTTTATTAAGGCAATGGAAGTCGTCCAGAAGAGGTTAATCAATGGCTTATTATTAGATAAATGAATGAATGGTTTATTATTTATTAATGAAGGGTTGATTATTGTTTTAATGAATGAATGATTTATTACTAGTTTTAGTTATTACTTAAACCGAAGGGAGCATTAGCGTAAAACATTTTATATAATTTCCTCGGTACATTTGTAGTTTTACATTAGAAGTCATAAAAAAATAATATTTTTCTTGGGATTTAAAAAAAAAATCGATTCTTGGGTAGACTGATTTGGTATTATTACGTTTAATTAGGAAAAATATTAAATTAATTGAAACAAAGAAATCGATCATTTGATCGATCGACCATCTAACTTTCTTCTAATCTAACTTAAATCTAATCGACCATCGAGCATCTTTGATCGACCATCTAAATATCAGATGGTCTGATTAAAATAATGTGCCTGTGGAAGGATAAAACACATTAGTCTGAAGCCATATCCCCATCCCCATCCTCACATATATTATTACAGTAAGGCTCGAAATATTAAAACTATACGCCGTATAGTTTTAATTAAGTTTCGGCCTTAGTTCTAGTTTTAAAGATTTGAAAAGAGTGAGTAAATTAGCTTGAGTTTTCTATATCGATATGGTCTTGTTTTATTTCAATATGTGAGCCCTTTCAAATTGACAAAAATCTATTGAAACGGGAAGATTAAAGAATCAGGAAATGTATTTTAAATAACGAAATTTAACATGTTGGTTTTTTTATTTACTTTTAATAATTATAGTATTATATTGTTTGTTTAAATATCTCATTTGGCCGAAACCGAACACTGATTTTATTCGGTTCGATTTTGAAGCTGCTGATATTAGTTGGGATGAGTTATGAATAACTGACTTGGTGAATTATAAAACATATTTTATTCACAAAAATTTTTGGAAATGGGATGTTTTCAATCTGGAGATCATGAACTCATGAATACCCACTTTCTTTGTACACGTAAGATAATAGATCCAAAAGTGCAAAAAAAAAAAAAAAGGTGGCATAAAAAAATATAGTTCAGTTTGGCATTACTTCCACCATGAAAAAGTAAAAATAAAATGGTTATATAGGCCAAATGTCCCAATATTTTTGTAAGCCACCTTTTTTTTTTTTGACTTTAAGATAATATTATCTTACGATTCGAGTAGAAAACAAATGAATATTCATGAGTTTTTAGTAGGTAATTAAATATACAAAGTTTGAAGATCTACAGATTGAAAACGCCACAATCCTGAGATTGTTCGTAAATAAAATATTTGTAGGTTACGATGAAATGAAGCATACAATTTACGAAGTTTATGTTAATAATTTGATAAAATTTGGTCTGTACCACGGACTAACTAGTTGTGTTTTATATTATCACTTTTTTAGCTGAAAAAAATAAATACAATCAAAGCTTGATTACATGCAAAAAATCAAATACAAATAATAAAATAGAAATATATGAAAGGTGGGCTGCAAGGAGTTAACATCTAAAAGGGTTAATAGTTTTGATTTTCAGCACGGACAACTCGGTCTTTATTCAAAATAAGTTAGCTAAGTATTTATAATTAAAACTAACTAGCTTTTTTTCATAATTTATTTCAACCTGATCTGGATACACTCATAGCAGCCTATGACAAACGAATATATAAGTCAACTAACATTGAACTAACGATTAAGCATCCGAATGATAGGCTAAAACGTAAGTTGGAAGATTACCTAAATATTTTATCCCTACGGATTTGAGTACTGATGCTGGGTGACGAAATTTCGTATATAGGTGACTATATTTGATCATGACGAACCTGGACATCCTTCTACTATTTTCGAAACCATTACTAATTTTAATATTTACTAATAATGTATGTGATATCTGTTTAGATGTTCCGGTAGGAACTCGTGTGACCTCACCGCTCACAACTCCTGGTTCACCGATCCTTGCTATTCAACCTACAAGTACCTTCAGGTTGCCTTCTCCTGTACTAAATAGATTATGGATAGATAATGTATCACAGCATACTCAGTACATTTTATAAAATAAGAACTTAATGTACTATATTATCAATAAATCAAAATCTGTTATACTATTCACTTGTTTGTATTTAAGTAGATAACTTTTTTTAAACTTTTATATTGAGAAATATTACAATCTGTATCAGTTAAGGACACTTATAATAAAGTTCACAGAGTCAGACATTCAGACAGTATATGCAGGCACATAAATAAAGTTAAAAAAACCATATATATACACATAAGTAAGTAAAAATAAAAATAAAAGTAAAATAAACATCTTACAGACAAGCATACCAATATAAACTATTTACAATCAGCCAGGGAAACTCCGAAAAAATCTTGTTCCTCCACAGGTGGAGGGAAAAGCAAGCCTTAGGAGATCCCTGTGCTTCTCCCTCAACCATTTTACTGGCATTTAAAGCCAACGGAGGATGAGTAAGAGCTTTACAGCCGCAGACAAAGCAGATAATTTAGAAAAGAAAAAACTTAAGTCTCTCAAACACTAGTAACTAACGAACGCGATAAGCATCTTCAAGATGAATAAAATATAACACAGTTGCATATCTAAGACCGTACATCACTTCATTTAATCTATCTATCTTTATTTTTGATACGGTAGTATCTATGCCTTTCTAGCGATAGATTTTAATCAATAAAGTATCAAGCGATAAAGAAATTCAATGAGAATTGACAAATCCTAGTTACATCACTCCGAAATTTTAGGAAAAAAGTTATAAAACAACAGCAATATTTTTCGAATAACTCAAAAAATATAAATATTATTCTTGTTGCACCAAAAAGAAAAAAAATCGAAACCATTATTATCTAGGATGCAGTAATGTACACATGTTTTGGTTTATTATGAATGAACTCTTCTGATTCGACTGAGAAAAATAAAATCTTTTCCTCTATGTGATAATACATTCCATTAACTCAATTCTATGTTATATTTTCAATTGTTTATTGCTAAAATTCTAAGCGAATTAAACAGGCCAACTAATTTTCATTAATTTTACATTAATTTTCGTGTTTATATCATTTTTTGTTTATATTTCTTTTTACTTTAATACTGGATTAATAAAAAAATAAATAAAAAAACTGGAATCATCCCCATCCCTACATATATTATTACAGTAAGGCTCGAAATCGGTTTTGTACCAAATATAAGCTCTTGTCATGCTCAAATACCATGAATGGGGTACCGTTAGATTCAGAATTTCACAGGGATTAGCGAATAATTTTCTCCGATTTTGTTTTGTTTTTCCTAAAATAAATAAAATCGATACAAATATTTTGCAAGATAATAGATAATCTTCAACGACCTCCAGATTGAAATCGTCTTATTTCCGAGAATTTTCTTAAAGAAAAAGGATATAACTATTAAGAGGTTACAGACGTATGTTCTTGATCTGATAAACAGAGATCTGCATCGCGGAATAGAATGTTAGGAATGATAGCAATATATATATATATATATATATTATATCTTCGTAGTCCCTTGGGTGTATGTAAATCTTGTACATACATGTAAATATATTTCAATTTATTCTTGTTTCCTCACTACCGAAGGTAGGAAAGCATTGTATTCGTGCGAGGGGCTAAACAATTTTTGTGCTCCGAATAGAGAATTTTCACTCGCGTTTTACGTTTCAGATATCAAGGATCAAATTTGGTTCGGTGTCTGTCTGTCTGTGCTCAAATCGCTGTAACGGGCATATCACCTACTACCGTCTAACCAATTTTCATGAAATTTTCAGGGATTGTGCAGGTTGGTGTCTAGATGGTCCCATATAAATTTTATTAAATTCTAACCAGCACCGCTTACGCACTCGTGTTTTTGTATATATGCCAATATTTCAGAAACGGTTCGATTTGGCTCGAAGTTGGATAAATACATCTTTTGAGTTAAAAAAAAAATATATATATATATTTTTTTTTTAACTCAAAAGATGTACGAAATCGGTGAACTAATAATTCTTGGTTAGAGGCCTAATATTAGTGGTCATATTAAAGGACCGGTTGATCAACGATAGCAAAAATATTTATTCCAGGATGATGTCAAACTAAAACGCAGATTCTATGATTAATTGCTTGGATCATCAGTGCGCTCTCTTCATCAATGTCCACAGGTGCTTCATTCATCAATCATCTACCTTCACTTAGGATCTCATCATGGCTAACAATGGAATCTCTAGTGAATGTGAAAGCAGACATGCAAAAGATTAATCAATCGTTATCTTCGATTTATTCTCAATATCTGTGGGGATTCTAGTATTTTACAATGGTACACAGAATTTAAATATGTTTTTCCCTAGCATTGGAAGAACTTTTCTGATTCTTTCGTGTGTCTCATTATCCACGATTATATTAAATAAAGGTAATTATATGTTACGATAGGTTTGAAAATCTGAATTAACTTTGACCAGCAGACGACACAGCAATTTTAGCAAGACACAGAAATCCAACATACGCATCACAGACCCTACAACAGTATTTAGCAAGATTAAATGACTGGTTCAAAATTTGGAAAATCTGACTAAATTAAGACAAATCACAGCACATCACATTTACGCTTCAACATGAAACATGCCCTCCAGTTTTCCTTGACAATACACAGATTCCACAGACAGACACCGTTCACTACCTTGGTCTGACATTTGAAAGAAAAATTATGTGGGGTCCACATATAATCAAGAAACGAAAAACGCTAAATCAAAGATTAAGAATTCTGAGTTCACTTCTTTCGAAAAATTCAAAACTAAAACTTAGACAGAAATTGAACACATACAATTAGTTACTAAAACCTATTTGGACTTACGCATCACAGATATTTGGAACTGCTAAAAAGACTCACTTAAACAAACTTCAAATCTTCCAAGCAAAAACATTCAGAACAATTACAAAAGCACCTTGGTACGTTAGCAACATAACCTATCATACTGACCTCCATATGCCGACTGTTAACGAACACATACGAACTCATTACAAACGATTCCATGACAAATTACAAGGACATTATGCATTATGGTCAAAGTTTTTTTTTTTTTGTTTTTTTTTGTTTAATTTTTTATTCACACCTGTCATAGTGGTATACACTTACACTTACAAATGATGGTATACACTGATAAATGACATGGCACTACGAATATGCCAGGTAACGTCTATAGGAGACTGAAGAGGAGCTGGATGAGGGACCTCCTCGCCTAATGCAGATATCACGCCAAGTGAGGTGCCGCTGGGCACTGATCCTCGTAATGAATTTCATGGCATTATTTTTTCCAATCAACCTCACATTCACTGGTTGTCATTACCACTATGACAGGTGTGAATAAACAATTAAACCAAAAAAAAAAAAAAAAACTTTGACCATAATGCAGTCCAATTAGCATTTTTTTTATCATTTATTTTGAATAATATTACAATAATATAAGAATTAGTATAAAATAAAATAAAAGCATTAGTGCTAAAAGTATCCATTTATACAACATATACATACAAGAAAAATAATTATTAGAAAAAACAATGAATAGTAATAAAGAAAGTATAATGATAAAAGTAAAATAATAAATGAACATAACAAAAAAAAGAATATATATATATATATATATATATATATATATATATATATATATATATATATATATATAAATTATAATAATAGAAATATTAGACAACAAAAATAACGTCTTCCAAGTAAAGTCAGTATAGCTTCCTCACGGTTTGCGTTGACTAAAAAATATCTATATTACAAGGTCTAAACATTTTCGCGTTAGAATAAAATATCTGGGAGAAGCCAGTTCCCGAAATTCAGTAATCTCTAAACATATAATGGTTTGATATCCACGAGTTTTGTTCATTAGCGAATCCTAAAATGCGAAAAAGATCCGCATAAGTAGATTGCATATTTGCTGGTTTGGGAATTAAAAAAAAATCTAGTGCGTATTGAACATGAATATCACTACTGTTACTGCAAATGTTCGTACGTAAACATTGAGTGTTTTACAGGAAATCATAAAAACTAATTATTTCTTTATAATTTATTAGTATAATTTCATAATTTATTGTCCTCTGCATGTTTCACTCCATAACTGGATGATACAAAACATCTATAAGAAAAACTAAACTTTTTTTTCAGAGTTAACGAGACCAATACTTTTCTTCAGTCAGAACAAACCTAATTAAGCTGAAATATAAAAATATGAGTGAAGTTGACACAATTTGGATATTTAAGGAAGTATTCAACCAAATTGACCCTACATTATTTTTGTACAAATACCTACATTTTATCCTGATTTGAGCCGAATCGAACGAGCCGTTTCTGAAATATTAACACATCTACAAAAATAAGAGTGCGTAAGCGGTAGTGCTTGTTAGAATTTAATAAAATTGATATGGGACCATCTAGACACCAACCTGCACAATCTCTGAAAATTTCATGAAAATCAGATAAACGGTAGTAGGTTATTGAATGTCACAGCGATTTGACTACGGGCAGACAGACAGACACTAAACCAAATTTGATCCTTGATGTCTGAAATGTAAGATGCGAGTGAAAATTTTCGATTCGGAGCACAAAATTTTTTTAACTTCTCGCACGAATACAATGCTTTCCTACCTTCGGTAGTGAGGAAACAAGAACAAATTGAAATACATTTATATCTATGTACAAGATTTACATATACCCAAGGGACTACGAAGAAGGCTATATTTGAGAAAGCAAAATTATGAAGTTGATTCAATTGCTTAATTGTAATGTTTAAATAATTAAAAACTGTTTAAATTAAGATTAATTAAGTTAATGTACATTCAAACATGGACGAGACTCTCGTCGCCTGTTTATATCGATGAAAACCAAATTCCTCAGACGGACACTTTACTTTACCTTGGTGTATTATTCGACAGAAGGATGACCTGGGACCCATATTTTAAACTGAAACGAAAGACTTTGAACAAGCGACTGAAAATATTATACTTAATTTTTTTTAAATGAAAAATATACACACTTACCTATTTAATCCCATATGGACATACGCCTCACAAATTTACGGTTTTGCGAAAAATACG